TGTATTTCACCGTCATAGTTTCCCGGAAACTTAGTGTATGGCCGAGGATTCCCAGGAAAATCTTCGTTTCCGGGAGTGGGAGAGTTCTTACTTAAATTCATAGACCCAACCTCTCACCACATTCCCGTGCAGATGGATCCTATCCGTTGGATGACGTCAAAGAACGTGGCAACGTGACGGTCCGGCGCATAATGGGACGAGTCACCGGGAGAGGTCGGACAAAATGTGAAAACTTTAAAAGCTCATAACTCCGTGAATATGCAGAAAACGTTGAGGTTTTAAAAGTGCCGCCATTGGTTTCTTTTTCGAATTTCCTTTTAGAAACACCCCTTACAATTTAAAATTGAATATACTTTTGTTAAAAGGAACTAAAGACGAGTGGGAAAGACTGAGTGTGCTCTAGAAAGCTGCATATGAAACAATGTAAAAGTGGGCGTGATTTCTTTTGGAAAAATGGAAAAGTGGGATTTGATATTAAATCGAAAAGGACTATATAAGAACCAAAATATGCTAACTTGTAAGCCGTGGGCATGCCAGAAGAGCGTTGTGGACATGACTCATGAGTTGAAGTGCCCCACCGGCAATCTTGGCGTCCCCGTCATCGACGCTGACGTCACTGGTGCTCTATAATTTCCATTCATTCTTGCGGCCCTCACTTAACAAGCACACCCCTTCTAATCCCATCCGACTCTGCTTCCATTTGGACGTATTTATGCTAAAAGGAACTATGTTGCAGGCAAACCCTATGCACAAAGTTCCTTTTGGCATAAATACGTCCATTTATCATAAATCGTCGTCTCCTGGACAAAGGAACGTAACTATATGTCCCACGGTTGAAAAATTGACTCGAAAAATCAATTTATTTTACAAAAATTTACATATCGACGGTGAAATTACCAAACCACGTATCTCGTTTGCGGTGTTTAAAAATCTACGCTCACATTTTAATTTTTTGAAATAGACCAAATCCTGAATCAATCATTCCTTGAAATTTTCACAGAATTTTCTCCGCACGAAGAGGAAAAATCACAGAAATTTTCAAGATTGGACGTTAAGTAGTTTTTCATTTAAAAAATAAAGAATGACAGGAAGTCTGCGACGTCGCAAACCGAGATACGTGGTTTGGTAGTTTCACCGTCGATATGCAATTTTCATCTAAAATTTGTCTGATTTTTGCATGAAATTTGACGAAAATTCCGATAAATTTTCAGCTATAAATGTCCAAGGTTCTGCTGGCTACTATGCGATTTGCTAGGAGATGTATGATAATATTGAAACGGAGTTACGTTTCTTCGGGGAGAAGCACGTCCAATTTGACGTAATAAATATCAACATTTGGATTGCATTTTGCGAAAAGGAACCACGAACATTGCAATGTTGCTAAGATTGTGCAACTTCTTTTGTCTTGGAAAAAAACCGGATCATCCATTGATTATTTCGATTTTACTTGCTGAAAACTGAATCTAAGTCAAAAATTACCATGTATATTTCATATTGTTTCATGATTTCAATTACATGACTGCAAANGATACGTGGTTTGGTAGTTTCACCGTCGATATGCAATTTTCATCTAAAATTTGTCTGATTTTTGCATGAAATTTGACGAAAATTCCGATAAATTTTCAGCTATAAATGTCCAAGGTTCTGCTGGCTACTATGCGATTTGCTAGGAGATGTATGATAATATTGAAACGGAGTTACGTTTCTTCGGGGAGAAGCACGTCCAATTTGACGTAATAAATATCAACATTTGGATTGCATTTTGCGAAAAGGAACCACGAACATTGCAATGTTGCTAAGATTGTGCAACTTCTTTTGTCTTGGAAAAAAACCGGATCATCCATTGATTATTTCGATTTTACTTGCTGAAAACTGAATCTAAGTCAAAAATTACCATGTATATTTCATATTGTTTCATGATTTCAATTACATGACTGCAAATTATGAATTTGCACAATCTTAGCATCATTGCGATGCTTCTGGTTCCTTTTTGCAAAATGCAATCCATTTGTGGTTTCAGCGAGAAATTTCACGTCCGACCTCGCTTACTGGCTGAACCCACTGTGCGGTGGAGAAAATGGAGGTGGTTAGCGTTTGTGTTTGACCGGTAATGAGAACCGCGGATTAGTTTCCAGCCACAAAGTCAAATGACGCGCGGACAACCTGCTCGACTTCTCACATGCATTTTTAATCCGCGGGTCGCCGGGCCAAGCCGCGCCCCATAGGCCACCCGCCCGCGCGTTGCGGTTCCGAACCCACCATTTCGTCGCTCCTCCGACGTAAGGGGGTATCTCCATTTCCATATGAGTCTTGTTTTACATATAAGTCAATGCTTTCTGGGGCTCATGGGGAAATCGAGATACGCCCTTACGTCACAGGAGCGACGATACCCGACCCCCGCGCCCCGAGTCGAGGGTGTGAGTGACGCAGTGACGCTGACGATGCAGCGGCGATGTTTGCAGCTTTCGAAAAACTACTTCGCGTCGATATGAGCTTTCACGAAATGTTTATCGATGCTTAAAGTGCGAAACCACTTATCTCCGTTTCCTACATTGCAGACTTCCTGCCACAATTCATTTTTTCCCTGGGAAATTATAGGTACCTGGTCAATGTAATTTTCCTTGTAACTTCCTTCAGTTTTCCTCTCTGTTAGCAAAATATTCTGTTGAAATTTCAAGGAATGAAGTTGGCCTGTTCATCTCCCGAAAAATTAAATAGGGGCAGCATTTTTGAGATACGTTTCGCACTTTGTCCATAGATAATTTATACACTGTGTATGGGTTGCATTTTGCAAAAAGGAACCAGAAGCATTCCAATGTCGCTAAGATTGTGCAAATTTTCTCACCTTGCAAATGAAAACAGATCGTCTAAACAAATTCAATCTTAACTCCCACTGAAACATGAATTTACTCGTAAGACGAAAATTACCTATTTCATGATTTCAGTGATTATTTGCAAAGAATGTAAGTTGCACAATCTTTGCAACATGGGAATGCTCTTAGATCCGTTGTTCAAAATGCAATCCATTTTATAAGCCGATGATGTTAAGTATGGCGCACCACTCCGATCAACACGAAATTTTTCCTGTATCTTATTGGATGTATAAATTAAGAAAAGAGCCACTTTTTGTTTGTGTGCATGTTTCCATACGCCACGTAGCCGCGAAAAAAGGAAAAAATTATTTTTTCAAAAATGTTACGAATTTTTTTAGAGGCTAAAATATTATCCGATGATAATGCATTTTTGTCTACAAAAACCAAGCTAATTGATGTAGATTCTGACAAATTTTGGTTCAATTCTATCGAAAATCACGAAAGTTATGAGGAAATGACGTTAGCATAGTCAAAAATAGCCCAAAAAAGCGGTTTTTGGGGGTCTGAGGGGGGGCGGAGGGGGTTGGGGGGGGGCTAAAATCCCCCAAAACCTAAGTTTTAGGACACCCTTGATGACTTAAAATGATTAAAATAAAAATCCATTCACAAGGGCATTTTGACATGCTTATCCCGGGATACCCTTTGACGTCTTGATTTTCCAAGACGACTATTCTTGTGTTTATAGACTACGGCCATAAATACGACCCTATGAATGATTTTGATCGTAACTGGGCGCACATTTTCTCGTGAAAAAAATTCGAAGTTGAAAAAAATATAAATAAATCTGAGAGTAGAGATGGAGCTTTATCTCTACCATTGTGTTCTATAGAGGAATGAAACCTCAATAACCTCTTTTTCTTGGTCTGATTTTGATTTGACTTGGTTTTTTCTGCTCAACTTGACCCGAGTGCATACCATGCATTGAAAAACATGTTTATTTGATCAAAATGAGCTCCCATTGTATATTTTCCGAAAAAAATTCCAGTTGTTCAAAAAATAATTCAAACTGCTTTCAAAGTTTTTTTTTTTTTTTTTTTTTTTTTTTTTTTTTTTTTTTTTTAAGAAAATGGAGGATTTTTCCATTTCTTTTCAAAACAGCCGATACCTCTTAGAAACAACTAAACTTCTTTTGTGGAATCATTTCGATGGAAAATCCTTCAAATTCAAACACAAGTACCCCTTAATATGGAATTAGTATTTCAGCAGAATACAAGTTCACGGGACCATGCATATGGTGCAATCTCTTGAATAAACTGAAACAGTGAATTTTATTATGGCATGGATACACGTTACAGATGTTAATCTTGTGCAAGGTTTTTTTTTTTTTTTATTTTATCGTACGTTAAAAAAAACTGCTCCTTTTTTTGTAAATGCCATCAACCACACATAAACCAACAAATAAGTAAGTAAAATAAATTTTGAAAAAAAGATATTTTTCAACAAATAAACCAAAATCAGAGTTTAAGCGAGTTTTTGCTCAGGCCCCAACAAGTTTTAGACTTTAAAAATGGTATCATCGATAAATGATTACGGGTTTTGGTTTACCCAACTCAACTCCAAACATGCTCAAATGTTGCGTTCTTCGTAAGTTTTTAAATATCCCATTGAGATACGTTTTAGGAGTCACACCTATCGCGTATTAAAACAATCGTTATTTTAGCTTATCAAGGTGCTTTGTTTTTCAAATTATGCCTAAAGTGTTGTGAAAACATGGATTTGTATGATCATCTCACCTTGAAACACCCATTACCTCGCAAAATACGAGGGCGTGTATTCTGCCGTGCTAAGGAAGAACGCCGTATGACCCTTCAGGCGTTGCCATATTTTCTTTATTAATCAACGAATTTACTGGGAAAATTCTAAATATTTTTCCTCCAAATTTTCAGACAGTTACTATCCCAATTTAATCTATAATATCTGAAAATTTAAAGGGAAAATGTACATAAATTTTTTCAAAAACACATTTCTTGTCCGAGTAAATTTGGCAACTCTCGATTGTTCATACGGCGTTCTTCCTTAGCACAGCAGTATTAATGGCAGGCACGACTGGAGATAAGGAGGCAAATATGAGAAATTCGTGATTTCTTGGCAGTCCCTGCGCTTAATACTCACAAATACAGTTTTTCATAGCTAAGCGTTTTGTTAATATGCACGTCTGTTTCAGTGCTAGTTTGCTGTTTCAATTTCGATAGCAAGATTTTGGAAGCTAAAATAGATCAACTCATCTTAAAACCCATCCTATAAATTGCTTGAAAACTGACCCAGAAAAAGTACCTGATTCGAATCTCAAAGCTGTGCTTTATACATGTATGAACGATTATTCGACGTATCTCTAAAAGGTTTTGTAAGCAATTTTCCGCTTGAAAGGTTAGTCGGTTTTTTTAAACGTTTCATCATGAGTGCTTATGTTAAATTTTAAGGCGCACGAAAAATACTCAGTTTGAAATTGAACCAAACGCCTGAGATGATATTCCTGTAGATCTTTTTTTATAGTCATTAAAAAATGTTGCCGTTCTAGGTACCTAAATTTGTTGCGAATAATACAATGGTTCTGATCTGATCTCATACACATCCAGTCGAGTCAAGTCCTTCGGACGGATTAATGTTGTAACCGTGACAAAAAGAGCTTCGCGTACATTCATCAAGACGCTTTTGTCTTAATATAAAGTAATTTTGGCAACCATTTGATGCACCATTTTGACTCGCGACTAAATTAATTTCGGATTTTTTTCTTTTTTTTTAAAATAAATGTTCTATCGATCACCCTAAAAGAGACTATCCAATTTTTCTCTCAGGAGAAAATTGGCACAGAAATAGAAAAAAATCATCGACAGTGAAATAAGAGGACTTTTCAAAAGTGGGGGAGCCGGAAATATGATCCCTTTTTTAAATGGTGCAATAAGTATGACAAGAGCATGATACGAACAAGTATGACAGTAGAAAGTATGACAGGAAGTCCGCGAAGCCGCAAACCGGAATACGGCTTTCTGCAGTTTCATCATCGAATGATCAGCTCGGCCAGCAGGCCACCACTACTGCCACCAGGGCCACCTTCAGGCAATCCTGACACGCATTCGAAAAATCACGAAGGTGGACACTTTTAGAAAAAACAAAAATTGCAAAATTTTTATAAAACCCGACAAAACTAACGGTAAATTACGATGTTGACAAACTATCTCGCCTCAACTGTTAAAATCATAATTTTTCGTTAATTTGTTCGATACCATTCGTTATTTTAGTCGGGTTTCATACAAATTTTGCAATTATAGTTTTTTTTTAAAAAAAGTGACCGCTGTTGTGATTTCGCGAGTACGTGTCAGCATTTTCTGAAGATGACCAGATGGCCGAAATGATCGTCATAATATAATAACACAAAAGTTGAACAAATCGAAAAGTACAAAGGGAAGAAACTTCTAAAAGTTACATAAATTAATCATCCCCGATTAAGCCAAATCTCACTGCAGTCTGTCTTCTCCCTGGTTAAAAATGAGCTTGTAATTAACTCAAAACAACCCGATTTTTTGGTATCCGTACTTTTTTGTATTTTTCAGCAGCCATTCTTCAGATTACGTTGTTTATTTCACTCGTTTTTTGGCTGATTCAGTTGTCCCTCATTTCCCAGAAACTACTTGTCGTGATTCAATTTTTTAATATATATGGAAAAGTTTGACTTAATAACAGTCATTTTCGCAATTTTTTCTTTCTTTCAGTAATGTTGACTGTAACCGTCGATAAAGGGTTCCCTCTCCAATACGAGAATCATTTTAATCACAAGCAGGGTGTTAAATCTTACCTGAACTAGCCTCTAGAGGTCCGCTATTGACGGCACCAATAAGAACGATTAAGAATAGAAGCGCTTTGAATAGCTTTTTCACCTATGAATAAACTAGAATTGCACGGGGGTAGTGAACGAAAACAAGACCGCATGTTACGCGGAAAAGCGCTTGCTCTTCGGCCACCCCGCCCTCGCGATTATCATCCCCCAATCGCAACGGATACCTCGCACACTTTCAGAGCTTGACTCCACCCACCCGATAGCTCTGAACTGGGGAAAAATGACGTTCCTTTCGTAACCTCTCGAGGAGTCTCTTAGTTCTCTGCCGTGCTAAGGAAGAACGCCGTATGAGGCTGCAGATGTTGCCAAATTGCCTTGGATATATTGCGAATTTTCGAAGAAATCGGTGAATATTCTTTCTCCAATTTTTCAGATAATTTTATTCGCGATCTGATTTACATTATTTGAAAATATCAAGAGAAAAAATTCATAACGTTTCTGAAAATGGACATTTTAATTATTGAGGCAAACATTGTTACAAGTTACTACCCATCGTCTGTACAGCACGCATTTGATTTAGTTTTCACACAAATTTACTCATTTTTGCGGCAGAAAGCTCAGATTTTGTATTCGTAGCTCAATGTTTTGGAGAGGAGAATGTGAAATTTGGGAAATATTGGTTTCATCAAGCTGTGATGAATGACAATTATTTCACTCACTAGCAGATATTCGATTAAATAAAGGGCAAACTTACGCTTTTCGCTTTCGTTACTATGCGAAAAATTGGCTACTCTCCGCCGTTCTAAAATTAGCTTTAAGGCATTGAAAATTTTGCTCGATTATAGTTTTCGGAAAGGGATGCTGAGCGTCATTGTGTGAGGAAATCAAAATAACTTTCGAACTTTTGTCAAGTGTCAAAACACCTATACATCAAATTCCTAAGATCGGTAAAAAACTCTTTTCTTCGAAATGTTCATCTTTTTGGTAACATAGAGACGCTTTATCACCACCCTCCTCATCCGCCATGCGTCACTCTCTCAGAAGAGGTAGTACAGTCAAGTTTGCGACGTGCGCCCTTCTGATCGCTTGTGAGATCTCTAACATTTTTTTCTTTTCAAAATGATAATTGATTAGGGCACATCCTATTTTTGGTTGTGTTGTTTACGTAGTTCTTGAAGCCCCACAACAGATGAGACAAACGAAACTAACACAATATGGAAATCGAGCAAATGGAAAGACGGCGCAGAAATACAACTATTCGTGCTTGATGGATGTCTGTGTTGCATCTGCAAAATTGAAGGCGCCATGGCGCGAGTTGTGAATCTGCGATGGTCCGCAGCTCTGCTTTATGCTGCCAATGAGGTGTCGTGAGAAAATTAAGAAACGAGGCTCGATTATTACGGCTCTCCTATTTACGGCTGTGTTGCTCATACAGCCTTTAAAGCATCCTACAAACACAAGTAAAACAAAATGAAACAAACACAGTATGGAAGAAGAGCAAAGTGTAAGGAGGCGCGTTGATGACGGCGCAGAGATACAACTATTCGTATATGGTGGATGTCCGTGTTGCATCTGCAAAATATAAGGCGCCATGGCAAATTAGCACAATTTTTCGCTACTTTCAGGTTCGAAGTATATTAAGTAATCGCACAGAGTAAAATTTGCAAAATGGAACACTTTTAAGTAACCGGAAGACGTGTGAAATGGAAAGGAAAGTTTAAAATCAAAGCTAGGTACTAGCAGCATCCATGCATCATTATTTTCAGAAGAATCGAGCCAGAGCCTGTAACCTATAATACTACTTTTAAAAACTAAAAGTCGGGAAATGATGCATCATTTTCGGGTGTTTGGGTTCATGAACTCGAGGAAAATGTAGGCCAAAAAAATCTTTTTAACCTCATCAAAAAATGAAACATTCAATCTGGTAAGTAAAAGGTGAAATTTTGAAATAGAGACAAGGTGCTCAGTAAGAAAAGTAAAAATGAAGAAATAAGAATACATGTATATTAAATGCACCAGAGATCTAAAGCAGGCTGCAGGAGGTCCCCTGGTCCCATTCAACAATCATTTTGTTGGCAATTTTTTAGGACGTCACCGAACAATTATTAGAGCCTAATTTTGCAAGATTAAACATAACTAAATTTTATTAAAATTCTCTAACTGATTGGGAATGGCGTGGCTCCTTTTGTCTCTCCTCTTGAATCCTGAGTTTTTAGCCAACAAGGTGTGCAGTCATAGTTTAGTGATATTTGCATTAACCAGTAGATGCTGAAGCCCGGTCAAGTAATTGATAGGAGACTTGTTTAGGTGAAAAACGTGCCACGTGAGTTGTAAGGGACCGCACGGTACATACGAGCCGTAGTTGTAGGTCTGTAAAAATGTTTACAATAAAAAAAAAGGATAAAACTTCAAATTGAAAAAGAAGAAAACATTGAGGAACAACAGAGTCGATGCGTGATTGGGCCTAGTTTTTTTAAATTTGTTCCTCGAATCTGAACGACATCTAACTGGCAATATAGAGCAGAGCGTAACGAGTTCACATCTGGCGCCAACCCGCCTTCAAATTTGCAGATGCAACACGGACATCCACCGTGTACGAATAGTTGTATCTCTGCGCCGTCATCAACGCGCCTCCTTATACTTTGCTCTGCTTCCATACTGTGTTTGTCTCAGTTTGTCTTATTTGTATTTAAAGGGTTCTTTAAAGGCTGTATGAGCAACACAGCCTTAATTAAATAGGAGAGCCGTAATAGTCGAGCCTCGTTTCTTAACTTTTTTCACACCTCATTGGCAGCATAAATCGGAGCTGCGCAGCATCGCGAATTCACAACTCGCGCCAACGAGCTTGATGAAACCAGTATGTCCCAATTTTTCACATTCTCCTCCTCAAATATTGAGCTACGAATACAAAATCTGGATTCAGCAAATAAAAAAAAAAACCAACACATCAATTTTCCAGCACTTGTGTAGGCCCAGGCGCCTCTGGGGACTTATTTCCGGTTTATTTTCCCTGGACCTCCATTCACCACTATTATGCGTACGAGGACCTTTTTTTACTCTTATTTTCTCTTTTCCCGTTCATTTATGAATTTTCCACATTTTTCCTAGGTCATAATTTTTTCTCTCATCCTATTTTGCTATGTCTGGCAGAGGGGCGCATTTTCGATGCGTCAGGGGGGGTACCTGCCAATGGCAGATTGGCCTGTCCGACTCTGTGTGGCTTGGTTCCGCTTGGCCCAACGCGATTTATCTTATAACGAACTTTATAGTATGGCCTTAATTTTTGAGGTAAGCTAGAAAGCATCTCGTGGGGCACTAAACGGGTCAGTGGCACTCATTTTTTTAAAATTCATTATCAGAAAGCACGTAGTGAACTAAGCTTCTAGGTACTTTTCCGGATTTTTTTAACTTTAAATGGCAAAAATGGAACCAGTTTGAAACGATATTTTTGGTGGGGTCTGATGATGTACCCAGGCGGGGGCCTGCTACGTTTGCTGATTGGCTGAACTAAGCTTTTGACTTTGCCTTGCTGCGTCAACTTGACTGTCGGCTTTTGATCGGTCGGATTTTCAATAACTATTTCGGTGGATGACGTCAAAAACCCGACTTTTCAAAGGACGATATCTCGGTTAATATTAAACGTAAAAAGTTGCTGTTTGGACAGATCTTCGTATTTGTAGTTGATCTACAAGAATCAAGCATCAAAACACGATTCCGTGACCAGCGCGCAGCTGATCCATTTTACGAGCTCTGTAGGCGAAAAAAGCCGAGGAATCTCTGCCGTGCTAAGGAAATGCGCCGTATGAACCTTCAGGCGTTGCCAAATTTCCCCTGAAGAATCACTAATTTTCAGGAAATTTTTGAATAATTGTCTACCGATTTTTCAGATAATTTTGTTTGTAATTTGATCTAAAACGACTGAAACTTTTGAAGAAAAATATATATAATTTTCCTCAAAAATGAACATTTTATCGAAGGAAATTTTGCAACTCTCGAATGCTCATACGGCGCTCTTCCTTAGCACGGTAGTCTTGGGGTTACGCACATTCCTGCTATAGACTCACCGTTGAAGCGCCTTATTTTTCAAGCGCCGAACTGCGATATCCTCGCACTGAAAAAAAAATCTCGGTGTATTTACTGAGAAAAGGGTAAAATTACCAAGAATGCAGGGTTCTATTTGATCCCAGTTTTTTCTTGGTAAAATTACCATTTATGGAATCGGTAATTTTACCGAGAAATCTCAGTAAAATTATTGACTTTCTCAGTAATTTTACTGGACCCCGGTAAAAACGTCAATAATTTTTATCGACTGTGGTAGAATTACCGAGATAAAATGGCAAAGTTACTGGGAATTGATTACAAATAAAAGTGGTATTCTTACCTGAAAAAAAAAACAGTAAAAATACCGTTTTTTAGGTAAGCCTACCAGTCTGTCTAGGTAAAATTACCAATAATTGGTAAAAAAAAGTGAGATGGCAAAGGTACTAACGGACCTTGGTAAAAACGCCGAGAATTTTTTTTCAGGGCGAGAGCGGGAAGATTCGGCGGCGAAATATCGGGAGATTGAGCGTGAAGATGTCAAAAAGAACACCGGCTCAAAGTTCGAGGGTGACAGGGACTAGTGACGAGGGCGAGGGGGGGGGGG